GGCATGTCGCTCGGTGTGGGGATGTTATTACCCGTTGTGGGACTCAACCGCGTGGTACTCGAAACAGGGCTCGTCCCGCTCGTGGATGTCAGGGTGGAGCTGGTACTCAATCGCGCGCTGCTCAGCGTTGCGCTGCTGGTGCCGGTCGCAATGCTCCGCGACCCAGTGCTTAAGACAGTGCCCGTCCCGCGCGTGGGCGTCGGGGTCGTGGTGCTGCTCTCCGACGTGCAGCTTAACGTCGAGATGCTGTTGCCCGTCGCGTGGCTCAGCGATGTGGTGTAGGACGTGGTGCTCGTCCTGCTGGTGCCTGTTGGAGTCGAGCTGGTCTGCGATGTGCTGTGCAAGAATGCTCTGCTGGCGTCCGTCATGTTGCTCGGCGGCATGGTGCTCGGGGCAGTGCTCGTCCCCGCCCCTAGCGCGCCAATGCGGGGCGTGGAGGCTGGGGGAGCCAGGGGGTCGCCCAGACCACTCGGACCAACCAGAACACCCGACGGCCCTCTCGACGCGAGGCACTACGAGGGCACTACTCGAGGCGGTACTAGATGCAGTAGTACTCGAGATGGTGCTCGTCCCACTCGTGGCCGTCAGGGTCGGGCTGCTGTTCCCAATCGCGTTGCTCAACGATGCGCAACTGGGGCCTGTCGCGGTGGTCAGCGACGTGGTGCTCGAGACGTTAATCGTCCCACTCGCGGGCGCATAGGGGGCACGCTGGTGCTCCCCGACGTGGTGTTCAACGTCGACATGCCAGTGCCCGTCGTGCGGCTCAGCGGTGTGGCACTCGAGACGGTGCCCTTCCCGCTGGTGCACGTCAAGGTGCTGGTGCTCCCAATCGTGCTGCTCGGCGATGCAGTGATGGTACCTGCCGTGGTGGTCAAAAGACGTGCTGCTCAACGTCGAGGTGCTAGTGCCCGTCGCGCAGCTCATCGATGTGGCACGGGAGGCAATGCTCGCCCCGCTGGCGCGCGTCAGGGACAGACTGGTGCTCGCCGACGTGCTGCTCAACGGTGCCCCGCAAAGTCCCGTCTTGGTGGTCAGCGACGTAGTGCTCTAAACAGTGCTCTTTCCTCTCGTTAATACCAGGGTCGAGCTGATGCTCTCGGAGGTGCTGCCGCGCGTCGAAACATTGATTCCCGTCGTGCTGCTCAGCGACGTGGTGCCCGAAGCCGCACTAGTCCCGCCGCTCATGGGCGTCAGGGTCGAGCTGCTGCTCCCTGGCGCGCTCGTCGACGATGCGCTGCTGATTGCCGTCGTGGTGCTCAGCGCAACGGTACTTGAGACAGTGCTTGTCTCCCACGGGGACGTCACTGTCGGCCTGCTGATCTCCGACGTGCTGCTTTTCGTCGAGGTACTGGTGGCCGTCGTGCAGCTTAGCGACGTGGCACTCGCAGCAGTGCCCATGCCGCAAATGCACGTCGGGGAGCTGGTGCTCCCAGCCGTGCTGTTCAGCGATGCGCTGCTGGTGCCCGCTGTAGTGGTCAACGACGTGCTGCTCAACGTCGAGATTCCAGTGCCCGTTGTGCAGCTCGGCGACGTGGTGCTCGAAGCATTGCTCGCCCCGCAGCTGGCGCCCGTTAGAGTCGAGCTGGTGCTCTCCGACGTGCTGCTCAACGGTGCGCTGCTGGTGCCCGCCGAGGTGGTCAGCGACGTGCTGCTCAACGTCGACATGCCAGTGCCCGTCGTGCAGCTCAGCGACGTGGCACCCGCAGCAATGCCCATGTCAGCAGTGCACGTGGGGGCGCTGGTGCTCCCAGTCGTGCTGTTCAGCGATGCGCTGCTGGTGCCAGCAGTAGTTGTCAACGACGTGCTGCTCAACGTCGACGTGCTAGTGCCCGTCGTGCAGCTCAGCGGCGTTGCGCTCGCAACAATGCCCATGCCGCTGGTGGACGTGGGGGCGTTGGTGCTCCCCGTCGCGCTGTTCAGCCATATGCAGCTGGCACCCGCCGTGGCGTTCAGCGATGTGCTGCTCAACGTCGAGATGCCGCTGCCCGTCGTGCAGCGCAGCGACGTGGCACTCGCAGCGATGCCCATGCCGCTGGTGAGCGTCAGGGCGTTGGTGCTCCCAATCGCGCTGTTCAGCGATGCATTGCTGGCGCCCGCCGTGGTGGTCAGCGGCGGCTGCTCAGCGCCGAGATGCTGGTACCCGTCGTGAAGCTCAGTGACGTGGTACTCGAGGCAGTACTCGTCCCGCTGGCGCACGTCAGGGTTGAGCTGGTGCTCGCCGACGTGCTACTCAGCGGTGCGCTGCTGGTGCCCGCCGAGCTGGGCAGGGGCGTGGTACTCAAGGCGGTGCCGTGCACGTCGGCCTCTCTCGAGATTCCTGGAGAAGCTTCCGGGAACATCTGAAAGGCTCCCTCCAGAGATTCGGCCGGAGGGGCTTTGTCCCCGTCGTGGTGGGCAGCGACGTGGCACTCGATGCAGTGCTCTTTCCAGTCGTGGGCGTCAATGCCGAACTGCTGCTCTCCAACGTGCTGCCCGACGTCGAGATAGTACCCGTGGTGCTCGACTCCGTCGCGCGGGCCAGAGTCAGGCACCTGGCGCTGTGCGTTGTGCGCTCGGCCTGGGTGCTCGTGGCACTGCTCGTCGCAATCGCGGGCGCGAGCTTTGGTGTGCTGGCCGCGACCACAAGGGCAAGAAGGATAAGGCGTATGCTCGGCCTAATCCGGTTCTGTGTTTTCACGCTGGAGTAGTGCTCCGAGGAGTGTGGTCCAATGCTTTCAAAGAAACGTACGAGACGAGGCAAGCCAAGGTCGTCGATCGCCCCGCG